GACACTCAAATCGTTTTACCTTCTCTCTGTTAATTCTAGGAATTCATCATCCATTACTCTCAAGTCCCTCGCTTGCTGTCTCCAACGATTCCGCCTGTGCAAGAGGCATCATCTAGGTGATTGCTTGTTTGAATTTGCGATTGATATGTGAGTGGATTGGGGTATTGGTGATTGTGAAGTTTCAATTTATTGTGGGTATTATTAAGTAAAATGTTGAGGTTTTGTTTGAGGTATAGTCATTTGAAGAAAATTTTATAGTAGATTTTGGAGATGGTTCTTGTTCTGTGTGCCTAAGAAAACTGAGTTTATATTTACATATTAATATGCATCTTTGCTGTTATTACAATGGAGATTATGTTGAATTTCAACATTTGTTACTGCATTTTAATTAATTGTGGATATTTTCGTTTCAAAGTTCAAAACACATCCCCGTTGAATTTGGTATCTTGTTTGTGTTACTTCATCTTGGAGATCACTTCTTTCACTTTGTTAAGAGTTTCTTATCCTTTGTAAGTATGGAAACAAAGAGCATCACCTGACCTATTTTGAGTATAATCCCATGATTATTTACCATTCTCCAATAACTCTTTTTTCCTAAAACTTATTTTCAACCACACATTTTCATAATAAAATATTTTATATGTAAACCTAATTTTTTTCTACTTTTTAACCACACATTCACCAAAAGATCACTATTCGGAAAATCATTTTCTTTTTAAAAAAAAAAACACTTTTAATGGGTATCAAACAGGGCTAGGTATTCCATCTATTTGAGATATGTTTTTTTTTTTTTTTTTTTTTTTTTTTTCTTTTTCCAGTGGTGATAGGGACATAATTTTTTGGACCTTGGGTCAAAGAGGAGAACATGGAAATTCCTTCAATTTCACTGAGTTTTGAGTCACTTGTTCGGTTGTTCCTTTCACCTTAAAGAGGGTGGAAGATAATAGTTACTGTGTTCTACTGGTACTTCTGGAACACAGATAGTTAAGATTAGTGATGATTTGAAATTCATAAACCCCTTAGACGTAGATCTTGGATTAACTACACCCAGTTAAATAACAAGTCGGGTGATGCTATCAGCTGGTTAAATTTTGGTTTAGTACGAGTGAGTATTACCCAAAAAATATATTCTTTGAATGTTGCGAGATCAATTTCCTTCCCCACTATCACACAACACCTATTGGCCAAATTTTATCATGTGCCCAAAGAAAAAAGAGAGAGTGAAAAGAGACAAAATATTATATATGTTCTTGTAGAATTTCTCCAGCTTTCCGTTTATATTATAGTATGTAACTAAGAAGCTTTCTGTTGATATGTGGTGAAGCTTTCTGTGTATATACTGAATATACTTGGCACAGGCCTGAACATCTCAAACAACATGGAAGGGGTGTCTAATGAGGTTTATATGAAAGCAATAAAGGCGGATCCCGATTTTAGGATGACATTTGTGATGATGCCAGAAATTAGGAAATAGTCTATCTTGGAACTTCTTTGATTTACTTATTTGATTAGCCGGGTTGTGTATTGTGAACTCCTAGTGTAGGATTGTGTTCTTTTCAGATGTTAATTAAGAACTTTTGTAATTTTCAAAACTTGCTGGTTTAATTTTAATCGATGGGTTGGATTTTGATAATAGTTGTACTTTTAATAAATATGATAATTACATTTGTTGGAGTAGTATAATAAATGATTATTGATACAGACAATAATAATTCTCAGTTTACTAAATAGTCAAATTAATTGAATAAAATGCCATAAAATAATTTCTAAATTTTTTAAATCAAACCCGTTTTCTAGTTTTTGTGTTTCGAAAAACAGTTTTTAAGAATGTCAAATCAAGCATTTTTAGAAATCTTAAAATTGACCCCTAAAAGAAAATTGAAAATGAATTCAAAACAAAAAACTGAAGCACAAACCAAATGCCCTTACTTTTTAAAGTTTTCACATACTTGAATCTGGCTTACTGTGATGCACCAATACGGATACGTCTGTCTGGCACGATACATGTTAGATACGTCGACTGATATTTTTTCAAAAAGTACATGACACGTCGTCGACACGTTAATTAAATTCTTTAAAATTTTTCATTTATGTAGTATAAAATTATTTCTATACTTATTATTGATTTTTCTTGTTGAAATTTTTAAATATGTGTGTTTATTTGTTATTTACTAATAATTTTGAGTTAAAAATATATAATAACTATAGTAAGAAAGAAAAATGATTCTTGTAGAGTGTCTGAAGAATGTCGGTATTGATACGTGTCGGACATGGACACGCTACCTAGTTAGAGTGTCCGTGCTACAAATCTGGCTTATATTCTTTGTTGCCAAACACTAATTAACATAGAAGTAAGAAACTATACAAGTAGCCTACAAGGGGGAAAAATAAAAATAAAAATAAAATTCAAGTAATCACAGTTATCAAGCCCCCAGATTCCTGGCCAGTGTGTGCTATGGTGCGAGCACATGTATCTTGGGGTTGGGATGTAATCTATCTATATGCATGTATTTATATTTATATATGTATATCTGTATGTGTGAGAGTGTGTGATCAGGCTGCAGAAATGCACACAAGGTGTTTGAAGTAATTGTTGAGTTAGAAAGTAATGTCACAATCTTATAATAAAGCATGCATCTTTCCAAAGAAAATGCCCTCTGTTAAAGTGTGATAATATTACGGTGACGTCTCTTAGGATATTTTCTGATGTATTTTTCATTTGTTTTGTGTTATTCATTGCCATGCTTCTGCTTTGTAAAACAGCAATCACGAGGAGGTTTTGGGGCTCAAGATTTTGCTTCAGTCTCAGGATTATGCTCGCGAGCTCAGAATTAGCCTGTTTCAAAGGTTAATTTTTTTGGGGAGTTTCATCTCATTTGGTGGAAGTTCAACTCAACTTATGGGAAAAGCATCGAGAGATAAAAGGGTACACTTGCTCTGCTCCAATTGCATGTGAAAACTTCTTTTATTTTATCTGGACTGGCACTAAATCAAAATGCCTGAAATGGATTGATTGATTTTACAGGATATCTACTACAGGAAGGCTAAAGAGGAAGGCTGGCGTGCTCGAAGTGCCTTCAAACTGCTTCAGATAGATGAGGAATTTAACATATTTGAAGGTACGTTAAGATGTGTACATTGATATGTACTAATTCTTTTTTGGGCTCCTCCATTTCATAGGATATTATCTTTGTGCAGTTTAAGCAAAAAGTTTCATTTATTTCCCTTTCGGCTGCAGTTATCTATTATTGATATGTGATGCAGTGAAAAGTTATCAACTGCCATTTGATAACGTAACCTAATGTTGCAGGAGTAAAGCGTGTGGTGGATTTATGTGCAGCGCCTGGTAGCTGGAGTCAGGTATCTGCCATTTGGGGATTCATTATTACCTTTACATATTTACTTACACATCCTTAAAACTCTTCAAGGTAGTCACATGCATTGCATCTAACTGAGTTTAATAACTTATATATTCCATGTAGGTTTTGAGTCGAAAGCTTTATCTCCCAGCAAAGCTGTCACCTGATCCCAAGTATGTTTTGGTAGTTAGACCTGTGTTTTCTTGTAGCAAGTAACAATTTTTACCATGTTAAGTATGCCTTTGCTGAATTTCTTTGCTTTAGTGTTATTTTAACTATTTGTTCCTCAATGTTCAGTTCTAACAATTCCATGAATCCTCAATTGTCTTTACCAGATTATTCAATAACTTCAGTACAAATAACTGATGCAGGTGTGAATATGGCATCCCAGGTGTCATTGCATTAGTCACCAAATCTTGTCCAATTAGATTTTATTCTGGAATTGGTAAATATATTGTCTAAAAGCTCCATTAATAGAAGTGTCTGAAAATTGAAGAAATACATGGCTTTAATACAAATAATTTTATTAAAGAGTTTCTAAAGCTGCATGGAATTTCTTGTTATGTTTTATGATGCAGTTACTGAGTAATGTGAAAAGGAAGTCAATCCTTGGAACATTTTCTCTTAATACTATTCCCCTGCTCTTAGCAATGTTATTGTGTTGCATTGATTTCAAGTTGTCATCGGAAAGGATTTGGCTATAAGCTTTGAGTTCAAGGCTAGTGATTATAATATTGATGCTGTCGCTATGGGAGTTGAGGTTTTTTGAAGTAATTATTTCTTTGCAATGATCTGCATAAGCGTAACTCTTGCTATAAAGTGAAGCTGCACCATCTCATTTACTTATCTGAGATGACGTTTTCTATCTTTCATTTCTTCTCTTCGCTGTGATACGCATTCATGATCTCATTATTTCATATCATAGAAACCTAAGCATGTCATCCTCATCACTTTGACAAATTTAACAGTCCAGAGGATTTGAATTAAAAATTTGCAGGGATGCTGATTTGCCACTCATTGTGGCTATTGACTTGCAGCCTATGGCTCCTATAGAAGGTGTCATTCAAGTGCAAGGGGATATAACAAATGCCCGGACAGCTGAAGTGGTAAGAACTGTTTACTCATCTGTCTGTGTTCACAAGTTTTTCTTTTTCCCTTTTTTGTTGAATATCACCTGTTTCGAGGTGAGGTATGGCATAGACCCCTACCCGCTTACCAGTAAAACAACAAAAGTACGTTTTTGGGAGAGATTATAGTCTGGTTCCAGAAGTTCAGAGATGTAAGAAAGAATATAGAGAGAAAAATTCTCGATGACTAAAAACCAAAACAGAGAATTGCATTTTCTAGATAAGGTCCTTCCTTCCTTACAAAGAATCCTATCTGAAGGAAAACTAAAAACTAAAATCTGACATATGGGTAAGAGATTTTATCTAATTTTAATTTATGTTGAATTTAACCTTGAAGTTCATATGCTCGCTATGCAGCCCAAGAAAAATAATAGCGACTTGACTGTGCTGTATTGCGTGTTAATGAATGTATGTATATCGGTACATGTATGGTTATTTGCGTATGTCCCCTGAACCTGTGATAAACCATTATTTCAAATGCAATCAGAAATCATATTTGAATGTTAGTTGGAACTTTGGAGACAATTTTGAAGTTTGCAGCTTGCTAGTGGAGATTGGATGCAGTAAAGAAACACCCTAAAGATTCTCATGCCAATGGAGGGGAAAAAAAGCAAGAAAAATATTAGTAAGGATGTACAATATTATATATGTGTGATCAAATGGGGGAGAGAGGAGAGCCTTTTTCCTTAGAATAAGAATATCTAAATAAATGCACCACATTTTGCTCCTCTGTATCACTTTTTATGGATCATATTGGGATTTGAGCCGGTAAGATCACTTATCTGCTTCTAAGATGTTAAGTACCAGGGTGGATTTCTGTGTCATCAGATTTTCTTCTTCCTGTCAATTGTGTTTCATTTTTACTTTTATATTTTAAATTCCACTTTTGATGTTTTATTATTTCCAGGGTGTTATTGAGGTTTGTTAATATAAGCAATATATATATGAATTCCCACTTTATGATCTTTTACCAGTGACATGTAAGTAAAGCATCCTTTCTGCTTTCTCAGGTTATTCGGCATTTTGATGGATGCAAGGCTGACCTAGTTGTATGTGATGGAGCTCCTGATGGTTAGTGAAAAACCATGTGAAGTTATATGGTCCCACTCTATTATTCTTGTGTCTATAATTTGATCCATGTATATAAACATTCTATCCTTGTGTCCTGCAGTAACTGGCCTCCATGACATGGATGAATTTGTTCAATCCCAACTCATATTGGCGGTTAGTAATTTAAATTCTTTGTTTGCGAATCTCCCTATCACAAGGGAAAATTTGTAAATGTTTTTAGTTAGGACTATATTATAGTAGATCACTGATTCACATGTGTGCATGTGCACATGCATCATATTTGTGCTGTTTTACTTTTCATGTCATCTTTCACCCATAAGATCTCATCCAAAATTATCCATGACTCTTTATGTCTCCAGCATGACCACTTACTTAGGAGGGAAATGGGGTAAATGTCTGGTACTACTCTACTGGAACAGCAACTATACTTTCATTTCCTTCAACCTAAGCAAGACACATTTTTGAGACATAGTGATGTTGACATCACTTGTTTAGACCATCATATTTTCTTGTGGACCATTTACTTATGTTTTATTTCATTGGGCTTGTATTAATGGGCAGGCCCAAGCCCCCATAACCATTAGGTTTAATTTTGTTATTTATATATTTGTGTTGGTTTTCCAAAGACGATAGACAATGATGGAATGAATTGCTTGGCTTGTTCTCTTCCTCTGCTTCTTCTCCCTCTAGTATTCTTCTCTGGTTTCTTCTCTTTTCTCTCCAGTTTCTCCCCTCCTTTCTTACTTGTCTTCTTCTCTATTGTTTATCTTCTTATCTACTGCTTTTTATAAGTTCTTTGATTGAATACTTCAACTGATTCTACGTCAAAGTGGTATCAAAGTCAAAACCTGGGTACTAGTTCACTACATCAACCTCTGACCATCAATTTTGTGAGGCAGCAGGTTGTTCATCAGCTTAAAGCTCATCCCGAAATTTTGCACTGTCATCTTCACAAATCTACCACCGTCTGCAGTCGTCTACTCTCATCCAAAACCTATTTTCCTTCAATTTCATATTTGGGAGAGAGGTTTGAAATTGAGATACAAAATGAGTTCAGGCCAGCTGCTTCAAATCACCGATTGCACCAACTACCACTACAGCCCACTATCTAAACCTTAAGCCCAAAGACAGTAACTGCCGGTAACTTCACAATAACTGTCTAATTCCAATAAACCACAAAATACACCATACCAACAGCCGACTACCACTACTAATAGCCCAATCCAATCCCATCGCACAGGCCCAACAATAACCCTAATCTGGCCCAACACAAAAATGTCCACCAACTCACATCGCTCACAAAATTCCAGCCGTCGACCCTCTCTCTCCACTGCCGCTGCATCTTACACTGCAACCCACCATCGCCTTTACAACTCACCCACCGAAACCCAAAATCTGATCTAGCACAACTCACAAAAACCATCATAGCCTGCACAATTATCGATTTGCTGAAGAAGATAGCAACCAATGCTGGTGTTCCTCGTCCCTTCTGCCGCCACCACAAAATCAGCTCCCCACATAGCGCCAACCTTAAACCTTCACCGCTAGTCACTCCTCCTTGCCAGACACCTCACTATCGTATTTGAGAGAATACAACTTTGTACATTTGAAGGTTAAGCAGGTTGCTTGTGGGTTATATGCATGCCTCTATTTTTCAAATGCTTCTAGAGGTTTTCGTGTTTGAAGTATTTAGTTTGATTTTTGTTATTTGAAAAAAAAAGGTAGAGAAAAGAAAAGGAAAAAAAAAAAAGAAAAGAAACAAAAGAAGGGTGGAAAAAAGGGTGAAAAAAAGTGAAAAGAAAATGTATCTTCTATTATTTGCAGATACCTCTTTTTATTCCTGTTGATTTGACACAGTTACTTCAATGAACGAAAGAGAAGTTACTGATTTTTTTTCTTGGTTTATATTACTGTTTCGTTTTAGAATTGCATGAATATTTATGCTTGCTGCTTTTATTCCAGTTTGTACCTAAACTCACGTAATTGGGTCCATTAACTTTGTTAAATTCTACTTTTACCTCATTTTTTTTACGTGATTAGGTTTTGACTAGTATTTGACTCTTGCTTTGCTATTTTACATATATCAGCAGTATTAGCTTACCGTATTTGAATTTATTTAATCCCAAAATTTAAAATTAAAAAAAGGCTGAAGTTATTTTCTATTGCTTGCACTTATTGTTCATTGATCTCTTTATTGCACGCCATTTAGTTGTAAATATAGGGCATGCATGGTGGTCGACTGGTAGTCTTGTCACTTCTAGTTTCAGTACCTAAACATGGAACCTTCATAATTTGATGCACTCACCCGACAAATAACAGCTAAACAAACCCAAATGACTACTATTCTTGAAGAGAGTAAGGCCTTCTGCTAATTTGAACAATTTTAAGCAAATTCATCATTCGATCGATGTTGATAATTTTGAAGTATCCCATAATATACATTATCATCATTGGCGAGGAGATCAAAAATATTATCGATATGATCATAGTGATAGGGATCAAGTTCGTGGATGAGAACGAGCCTATGACCGTCATGGTACTCATTCCCTTCCTCGTCATGAGGAGAGTTTCTTTAGAAAGACTCCTACTTTTGGGAGTTGCTTAGATTTTGAAGTTTTTACTCAATGGACTGTCCTTAAACAAGGTAATCAGTTAGTGACTAAGTATATTGTTCAATTTAAGGAATTTCAAATGAAATGACATGTCATTGAAGATGAGGCCCGACTTTGAGTAGGTTTATACAAGATCAAATGAACTTAGGCGTGAGCTTTTCCTTCGAGGTGTCACTACTTTTGATCACGCTTACTCTTTGGCTCAAGATTACGAGTTATTTATTAATACTCCATATGAAAATCGCGATCATCATCGTCCACCGATCTCGTCATCGCTGTCTCCTCTTAAGTCTATCAAAAGATCTTTCCTGTCTAATGTTCCTCCTTTGTAGGAAAATGAGAGTAAATTTTCTGAAATTCCAGGGGCTTCTTCTCACTTGCAGTGTTTCAACTGTAAGGACTTTGACCACGTCTCTTCTGAATGTCATAGTCGAGCTTTAGTCATTGAAGAACGAAAGAATATAATAGATAAGCGACCTAAACTTGAAGAATTTGATGACTTGGATGATAGTGAGTATACACCTCCTTAGATAGTATTTGGACTTTTCCCATGAACCTAGGTATTGTATCCTTTGTTCCCAATATCTCTCAGTCAAATGTTGTTTCATACTCTTATCCAACCCAAAGGTACCGATGATTTGTGTAATCATGCCATTTTCAAGGAAAATCTTAGGAATTGAGATTTGGTCCCCCCAACAGTGCAAATTACTTATAACAATTTTGTGAATCAGTCTATAAGTACAAGTTCCCTTTGAAGTTATTTATGGTTACGAATCTAGGAAAACTTTAGACCTTATTCCCATGTCCCCACATGCTAATGTGGTCAGTTGAGGTAGTTTTATCACATCGTCATAGCTTGCATATTGAGATCAATAAACAACTTGAAACAAGTAATGCATTATATAAACTTCAAGTTGATTTGCATAAGCGAAATTTTGAATTTAATATTGGGGATTATGTTTTATTGCGAACTTATAGTGCTAGTCCATATGAAATTTTAAAGCATATTGATTCAAATACATGTGTCATTGAACTTTTATCATATTTTGGTCACCACTATTTTAACTATTAAGGACTTCATTGCTTACAAAGGCTATTTTAACCCATTTGATGACCATTTTCTACCCCCACATGGAAATTCCTACACTGAATCTTTTGCTATGTCTACTCTAATACCATCTATCATAGCACACAATGATAAGATTGATGTTATTTTAGATAATCAGATTGTGTTAATCAATGATAGACAAATTCAGTACTTTTTTGTTCGTTGGGTCGATCGACTTGATTCTAATGATACATGGATCCCCAGAAAGAGACTTCATAGCATACAAAGATAAGATTGATGTTATTTTAGATGATCAGATTGTGTTGACCAATGATAGAGAGATTCAGTGCTTTCTTATTTGTTGGGTGGATCGACTTGATTCTAATGATACATGGATTCCTAGAAAGAGACTTCAACAGTGTGATCCAGATTCATTGGAACTTTATAAGAGTCAGCAAGATTTTCCTTTTTCCCAGATAACCTTGGTCAGATCTTATGCTTGGGGATAATTTGCAAATGACGTTGTCATCATTTGTTGAGATCCGATATTTGGTTTGTCAGAAAGATCATCCTCCATGATAGTTCAACCACTCGACGGAGTCGAGTTTTTCTTCCACTCCGGGAGAGTTGATGAGGATGTCACTTGTTTGGACCATCATATTTTCTTGTGGACCATTTACTTATGTTTTATTTCATTGAGCTTGTATTGATGGGCTGGCCCAAGCCCCATAACCATTAGGTTTAATTTTGTTATTTATATGTTTGTATTGCTTTTCCAAAGATGATAGACCATGATGGAATGAATTGAAGATTGAATTGCTTGGATTGTTCTCTTCCTCTGCTTCTTCTCCCTCTAGTATTCTTCTCCTTCCTCTTCAGTTTGTCCCCTTCTTTCTTGCTGTCTTCTTCTTTTCTTCCCTGCTTCTTCTTTCTGCTGTGGTTATCTTCTTCTTTACTGCTGCTTATAAGTTCTCTGCTGGAATACTTCAACTGATTCTGCATCACATAGTAATCCATACTCTCTGTCAGGGGGCTTATGCTAGGCGACCTAGGCTCTGTCCAAGAAACTGAATCATAATGGATCAAAGCCCTCCTTTTCCTTCCAATTACTGAGATGTTCTCTCTTACTTGACAGCTCCTGCAGCTGCAAATGTCATGTTGCTTGAAAGTGACAACTGAATGAATTTGGTGAAGGACAAAAAGTCTAATCTCTTTTGTGTGCACATTTTCTTGATTCCTTCCTTGCACACTATATTCTGTGACAATCATATCATGTTGCTTGTGGGCTGATAGGGTAAATAGATCACTAATCAAATCATATTTTCATGCCAAGTATTTTGTTCCATTTATCATTTCTTTTTCATAGCATATTTTTTCACACTTATTTAGATTATGGCTAAACGTGTTTGCAGGGATTAACAATAGTTTCACACATACTAAAGAGAGGTGGAAAGTTTATTGCTAAGATATTTCGAGGAAAAGATACCAGTCTTCTTTACTATCAGGTTTGTTGATGCTGTCTAAACCAGCAATAATTGGAATTATTTCAGGTCATTTACTCACTTTTGTTAATTATAAATAACATTTAGTCTCATTTCAGGTACTCAATTTCCATTTTAGCGTACTAGTGTGAAATTTGGGTAAAGTTTTTCCATTTTCAGGATATACAGTAATTCATGGCATTATATACACTTGAGGCATAGTTTTATGTGTGAACATAAAATCAATGCACAGGACTATATAATTTTTATATTAGCAGCTAATCAAGGTTGTTAAATTGTGGTACGTAGGATCCTATGATCCGAAATGACCAAAACGATTTGGATGGGCTCTAGAATTGCGATCTTCTAGAATCGCTATTAGTATCGGTTCGAATCACTAGGATTGTATGATCCTAAATGCAATAAATTGGGCTAGGGCGATGAGCTTCCTTATTTCACTGAAAGGCTGGTTTCTTTTGATTAAGTAACATAATATAGTCTAAATCAAAAAGGTAGAAAGAATAAAATAAAGAACGTCAAACAAAAACGTAAAATCCCTAACTCAAATCCAAAGTGATTTAGCGTCAACTCTCACAGTCTTGCCTCGCACATATGTTCATCACTCAAATTTGAGAAGGACACTATTATGGTCCCTTTTGGTAAATCATGGACTTGTAGTTGATACGATGTTCTTAGACCTTTTTTTATTATTTTTTCGATATTTAAGATATAATTATTTTAGTAGGATCTTTCGATCCTCGATCTGATCTGCAAGTCCTCTCCACCGATCGGCGTAAAAATTACGATCATTCTACCTTGCAGCTAATAATAATCAGAATTTGAGAAACCCCTCTCTTTTTGCTGTGGAAGAACAAAAGATGTCGAACTGATATCGCTGCAGAAAATTATTCTTTAGTGACACAAGTTGAAATTCATACAAGAAAATGTTTGAATAAAGTCATTTCTTTGTCTAGTGGTGTTGTGCATGTGGCTCATATAGAGTGGAACACAGGCCCTGAATCAAATAGGCCGATGCCTGCGCGAAGCGGAGCGACGGCATCGGCCTTGCGCGGGTTTAATTCATTGTCTGGTTGTTAGGGACGCTGAATGGGTTGGCGCGGTACGGTACAGGGGTATTTTCTGTACGGGCCTTAAAGTCTTTTATGGGCCCAGGCTAGGGTTAGTATAAATAATATGTTGTAACCCTATTTTTATAATTGAATAAAGAAATCTTCGCTTCGCTCTCATGGACGTAGGCACATCGCCGAACCACGTAAAATTCTTGTGTTGATTTCCCTTTTTCATCTCATTAATATTGTGCATAAAATTCAACAACTGGCATCAGAGCCAGGCTCACATGGCGAGTTCTTCGATTGCAAAATTTGATGTGATGAAGTTTGACGGATCTGGGAACTTCGGATTATGGCAGCGAAGGGTGAAGGATTTGTTAGCGCAGCAAGGGATGATGAAGGCACTATCTGGGAAGAAACCAGAGGGTACGTCAGATGCCGATTGGGAAGAGCTCGAGGCGCGAGCAGTTGGTACAATTCGGCTTTGTTTGGCGGACGAAATCATGTATCATATAATGGACGTTGAGTCTCCGGCAGAGGTTTGGGAGAAATTGGAGAATCGTTATATGTCGAAGTCTCTCACGAACAAGCTGCATCTAAAGCAGTGGTTGTACGGGCTGAAGATGTTGGAGGGTACGGATCTGATTCAACACACCAATGTGTTCAATCAAATCATCCGCGATCTATTATGACTTGAAATCAAGTTTGATGATGAAGACAAGGCAATGATTTTGTTGTGTTCACTGCCTCCTTCGTACGACCATCTGGTGACCACGTTGACGTGGGGTAAAGAGACTCTTAAATTGGAGGAAGTCACATCAGCCCTGTTAGCCTACAACTAGTGAAAACTGCGTACTTGTGAAACTTCACAGGGTGAAGGGTTGATCGTAAAGGGCTACCAGGATCGTGGGAGAAGGAAGGACAGAGGTGTTTCTTTTAGAGGGAACACAAAATCAAAATCTAGAAATCAAAATAAGAAAAACGTAAAGTGCTACAAATGCCATCAGATGGGCCACTTTAAGAGAGACTGTCCTAATAAGAAGTAGAATGATGAAAGGAAAGGTGATGGGTCATCAAACTCAGCTAGTGTTGCAGAAGGAGACTCGGATTCTGGAGATGGAGATGGAGATGGAGATATGTTATCAGTCTCTGCAGGTAATTCTGTAAAATTAAATGACTATTGGGTACTTGATTCAGCCTGTTCATATCACATGTGTCCTTATCGAGATTGGTTTCATTCATATCGTTCTGGAAATTTTGGATCTGTTCTGATGGGTAATGATGCATCATGTAAGGTCATTGGAATGGGGTCCATAAAATTTAAAATGTTCGATGGTGTGATAAGGACCTTGGAAAATGTTAGGCATGTACCTGAGTTGAAAAAGAATTTAATTTCTTTAGGCACTTTAGACACAAATGGTTACTCTTATAAGTCAGAGTGTGGGGCTCTAACAGTGAAGAAAGGGGCTATGATTGTGATGAAGGGTCAGAAATTAGTAGGGAATATCTACAAACTATTTGGGGATACAGTTGTAGGTGGAGTTGCTACAGCAGAATCTGAGTCAGATGACACTCTTCTATGGCATATGTGACTGGGGCATATAGGAGAACGTGGCATGGTTGAACTTCACAAGAGGAATTTGTTGAAGGGGGTAAAATCATGCAAGCTGAATTTCTGCAAGTTCTGTGTACTTGGAAAACAGTCCAGAGTACAGTTCAAGATGGGAAAGCACAAGACAGAGGGAATTCTTGATTACGTGCACTCAGATGTTTGGGGACCAGTGAGGGAGTTGTCCAAAGGTGGATCTCAGTATTTTATTATTTTCATTGATGACTTCTCTAGAAAAGTTTGGGTATATTTCATGAAGCACAAGTCTGAAGCCTTTGCCAAGTTCAAATTATGGAAAGCAGAAGTAGAGAACCAGATGGGCAGAAAAATTAAGTATCTGAGGACAGATAACGGTACAGAGTATATAGATTCACATTTTCTGAGATTTTGTGAGGAGCATGGTATTCGGCGGCACTATACAGTTCGCACGACACCGCAACAGAATGGTTTTGCGGAAAGGATGAACAGAACAATTGCAGAACGGGCAAGATGTTTGAGGTTGAATGCAGGGCTCTCGAAGAGTTTTTGGGCAGAAGCAGTGAACATTGCATGTTATGTCATAAACAAATCACCACGAGTAGCACTAGATGGGAAAGTTGCAGAGGAAGTTTGGACAGGAAATGAAGTTGATTATTCTGAATTGAGAGTATTTGGTTGTTCGGCGTATGTGCATGTATCTAGTGATCAGCGATCCAAACTTGATCCGAAATCAAGAAAATGTATTTTTCTGGGCTATGTTAAAGGTATAAAGGGATACAAGTTTTGGGATCTAGAAGCAAGGAAGATGGTGATAAGTAGGGATGCAGTATTTGATGAAGCATTCATGCTTAAAGCTTCTACAGATAAAGAGAAGCTAAATTTAGACGAGGGCAGAGGTAAGAGCCAAGTGGTGCAAGTAGAGCTAGACAATGTAAATAGAGAAATTAATGCTCAGGGAGCAGATAGTTCTAGGTCAGAGGTGTAGCAGTATCATAGTGTTGCCTTAGATAGACCACGTCGCACTACCAAACCACCAGCAAAGTATGGATTTGAGGATTCGGTTTCTTATGCACTCATTACCAGCAATAGCGATCCTATAACTTTTCAGGATGCCATTGGTAGTCAGGAGAAAGGTAAATGGATAGAGGCTATGACGGAGGAAATTGAGTCACTGCATAAAAATGATACTTGGGATTTGGTGGAGCTTTCAGAGGGGAAGAAACAGATAGGGTGTAAGTGGGTGTATAGAAAGAAAGAAGCAATGCCAGAAAAGGAAGGAGAAAGATACAAGACTCGATTAGTAGCAAAGGGATACTCACAGAGGAAGGGAGTAGATTATGATGAAATTTTCTCTCCAGTCGTCACACACACTTCCATCAGGATTGTTTTGGCAATGGTAGCTAATTTTGATTTGGAGTTAGAGCAGCTAGATGTGAAGACTGCTTTCCTTCACGGTGATTTGGAGGAACAGATTTTCATGGAGCAGCCAGAAGGGTTTATGGAATTAGGAACAGAGAATCTTGTGTGTAAACTGAAGAAGTCTTTATACGGGTTTAAGCAGTCTCCACGGCAATGGTACAAGAAGTTCGACTCTCATATGATTCAGATTGGCTACAGTCGTTGTGAGTATGATTGTTGCGTATACTACAGAGTTCTTGAGGATAACTCATATATTTTCTTGATGTTGTATGTGGACGACATGTTAATTGCTACCAAGAACATGGATGAGGTAGACAAATTGAAATCTTTGTTGAGCAGTAAGTTTGATATGAAAGACTTGGGACTGGCTAAGAAAATTCTTGGCATGGAGATCAACAGAGATAGGAAAGCCAGAAAATTATGGGTGTCTCAGAAAAACTATTTGAAGAAAGTGTTAGAGAGGTTTAGCATGTCAGATGCAAAATCAGTTGCCACACCACTTGCAAATCACTTCAGATTGTGTAATAATCAGTGCCCAAAGAGTGAAGAAGATGTTGCAGAGATGTCAAAGGTACCTTATGCCAGCGCAGTTGGATGTTTGATGTATGCAATGGTGTGTACCAAACCAGATTTAGCACATGCAGTCAGTGTGTTTAGTAAGTATATGGCTAATCCTGGTAGAGAGCATTGGAGAGCTGTAAAGTGGATTTTCAAGTACTTGAAAGGTACAATGGAGTGCGGGATCATGTTTGAGAGACAACACGGTGATATTTCAGTTCAAGGATATGTAGATGCAGATTATGCAGGAGAGTTGGATGACAGAAGGTCCTATACAGGTTATGTTTTCACACTCGCAGGTGGGCCCATATGTTGGAGGTCAATGGTGCAATCACTTGTGGCATTATCTACAACTGAAGCATAGTACATGGCGGCAACTGAGGCAGCCAAGGAATTATTGTGGTTGAAAGGGCTTGTCAGGGAATTTGGGATCAAGCAAGATGGAATGAAGTTGTACTGTGATAGTCAGAGCGCCATCTTCTTAGCTAAGAATCAGATTTATCATGCAAGAACCAAGCATATTGATGTGAGATTTCATAAGATAAGAGAGTTGGTTACTTCAGGTGTTGTTAGAGAAGGTACATAGCTCAGAGAATGCAGCAGACATGATGACAAAACCAATTACAATGGATAAGTTCAAGCATTACTTGAACTTGATTGACATCTCTAGCTGTTAGAGAGGATGTGTCCCAACCCATTGGCCTTAGATGGTGTGGTTTTTTCATGTTATGTTTTTTCTCCTAAGGGGTGAATATTCGCCAAGGTGGAGATTGTTATGCATGTGGCTCATATAGAGTGGAACACAGGCTCTGGATCAAATGGGCCGATGCCGGCGCGAAGCGGAGTGGAGTGAGAGGAGCGGAGCGACGGCATCGGCCTTGCGCGGGTTTAATTCACTGTTTGGTTGTTAGGGACGCTGAATGGGTTGGGGGTGGCCCCCGCGGTACGGTACAGGGGTATTTTCTGTACGGGCATTAAAGTCTTTTATGGGCCCAGGTTAGGGTTAGTATAAGTAATATATTGTAACCCTATTTTTATAATTGAATAAAGAATCTCTGCTTCGCTCTCGTGGACGTAGGCACATCGCTGAACCATGTAAAATTTTTGTGTTGATTTCCGTTTTTCATCTCTTTAATATTGCGCATAAAATCCAACAAGTGGTGAACGCGTGGTATAAGTTCTTTAGAATGTTTGATCCAGTAAATGGATCTTTGCCCCTTCGGACAGTTCTAAGTTGATTACATGGTACTGTATTGCTAAGCTAGAGTATGGTACTACTTTATCTTGAAACCAGTCCACTTAATCTATTTGATTTTGCTTGCAGGTTGATAATGTTTAGTATTGTTTGGTTCTTAGAGGTTTTTAGGACAATTTGTTCGTTTTCTGCATAAAATGCTGTATAAAACACACTCTCTGATTTGAAGTGCAAATAATGTTTTTCAAAGTTCCAAGCAGTCTTTGATTTGAAGAAAATGTTGAGTATTTCCTTTATTATGATGAACTAATAATCATTGGAGTAAAACGTCAAACTCAGTTCTTATCTCTATATTCATTATAACACCAATTATCAACAACAAAAGCATTTCCTCTCAATTCAAAAAGTTTAACATTTCTAGAAATTAGAAATGGGAAAACTATCACCCTTCAATAAAAATCGAGGATGTTTATGTAAATTTAGTTCGAGCTTTATTTTCTTAAGGTATTGCTAAAACTGTAAACCTCAAAGCATATGATACTTATTTTCACTTCTAACAATGGTATTTGTTAATCTCTGCTTTTTCATGTTCTTATTTTGAATATTTGCTTGTGTTATAATTAATTTTGTGATGTAAACTTAATTCTATTAACAATGTTAAAGTAGTTTATCTACATCATCAAGATCATTTAATACGTAGACAGAATCTTGAGTTGATCGTGGAATTGGTGGTGTTTTGCCTCTCTGTTGCAGCTGAAACTATTTTTCACAGAAGTGACATTTGCCAAACCAAAAAGCAGTCGTAATTCAAGCATAGGTACCGATGTTTTTCCTCATTTTCTCTAGACTCCTTTATTTAAAAGTTATGTGATCTTCCAATGTCATATTTTCCCTTCTCTAGGGATATTCCTGTGAATTTGGATTGATTCATTCAGTTTAGAGTGCTTCCTAATTTTTTATCCATCAAATGCCACTCCAAAAACAGGAAGGACAAGTTTTTAGATCTTCAAATTGTTTTATCTGCTGCAGACCTTTTCAGCGCCATGGTTAGGAATCATTTAGGAAACAACCAAACAGAGAAAGCATATGATCCACCTACCTACTGAAGTAGTAAGATAGGAGGAACAAATCATTTGGCTCTACCATTGTTGCAACAAAGAATTTGGACAGTTTCCAAAAACAGAATTTCATGTGCTTCCTATGGTAAATTATCATAAGAAGACTTAAAAATAGACTTTTGACTTCTCACAGGCCTCCAACTGTGAAAAGATGATACTCCATAAGATTCTACAGGATTTTTCTTATTAGAACTACTAATCTCGCTATATATGGATTAACTCTTCTCACCGAACTTGATACCGGTGTAAGCATCATTATTCAAATCACCAGCCACTAGGTGGCTGAAAATGTGTAGCTGAAGGAATTACCACTTGTTTACATATTAAAAAGATTGTTTTGGAATATTTAAAGAGATTTTAAAGTTCAGCATACAGTATACAGTTTATCTAGAATTTTCTAAACCTAATCTTTTCCCATATTTTGTAATGCAGAAGCATTTGCAGTCTGTGAAAATTACTCTCCCCCTGAAGGTTTTAATGAAAAAGATTTGCACCGCCTCCTTGAAAAGATTGGAAGTCCATCTAGTGCAGATGATCTAGGTAATCCTGATACTAACACTTGCTTTTGGCTCAAAGAGGAAAAACAGTACCCATTTCCGTTTGGACTATTAGTTAATATTCATTATCCATAATCCCAAAAAAAGAAACAAAAAAAAAAAGAAAAAAAAGGAAGGATTTCTTGTGCTAACTGTACGTCTGTTTCTTCTCGAGATATGGTTATATGCAGGTATGCATACTGTTTTTCCCTTTTATGTTATGTTATGAACGGGTTGGGGGAAGTTCTAAGTGTGACCTGTTCCTTGATACACTGAAGGAATTTTCGTCCTTCACGTCAACCTCTGTATCTCGCAAAATGAAATTCTCAGAAATTTTAACAGAATGATCACCCCAACTTCAGTTAAAAAATAATCGCTGATCCTCTTCTTTTGAGTTCTGATTCTGCAAGATGATACCATGTCAATATGTTCTCATTTTTTGTCCTTATCGACAGATTGCAGTAGTGGGTGGTTAGAAGGTCCTAACAAAGTATATATTCCATTTTTGGCCTGCGGGGATCTCAGCGGGTATGACTCTGATCGTTCATATCCACTTCCTAAAGCTGCAGATGGATCTTACAAGAGCTTAGATCCTGTGCAACCTCCTATTGCACCCCCTTATAAGCGAGCTCTTGATATGAAGAAAGCTTCAAGTCATGGAGTCCAAGGTCTAGAAAAACTCTCCCTTGATCCCTGAGCATGGTGGTTCATTAGACAAATTCGAAGTTCTTGAGTTTTTGACTTGAAGTCGTATTTCTGTACTCAGTTATCAAATTATGAGTTTGGACGGATAATAACTTTCATGAAAGTTGCTTGTTCTGTGTGCTAGATGGCAGGGTTCCTGTTGACTATATCATTTGAAATGAAAAAAAAAAAACCCAAAGCAACTAAACGTTACTAAAAATAGGGGGCATTATTTTTTATATATGAAATCTGTCATTCATTCACGTGGTTAGCATACATGGTGGCAACTAAATGATTTGGCCTTCCAAATTGTTATGAAATCTCTCATTCATTACATTGAATGTTTTGCTAGATTGCAAGGCGAGCTCATAGATTACTAACAGAAAAAACATCTTTCAATCTTGCTACGTTTCCATTTTTCAATTTCAAGAATTCTTGGACAGACTATAATCTACACAACAAATTCATTTCTATTTCATTTACATCCTTTTCTTCCTTCAATAAAAATACTTCTAGCAAGAACTTGTGACAGAATTTGATCTTTGCAAAGACAATGAAGAATTCAAGAACTCGATGCAGTCCTCTATAGCCTCAACCCTCTGAGAATCAAGTGTTTCAGCATATGAATGTGACCTTGCCAAAGAAGCAGAAGAAACTTTACGTGAACACCTCTTTCTACTAGACATACAACGAAGTGCTCTGGTGGCCTTTGCTCCGGTACGCCTGAGGAAACCAGACAGCGAAAACTTGGATTTTCTAATATGTCCGAAGCTCCATATTTCATTTACTTTCTTCTTGTTTCCATCTGCTTTTGAACCATCACCATACTTTTGGTAAATGATTGGCATGTCATTGACATCATAACTGAAACTCACTCTTCTACTCATTTTTCTTCGCATAACCCTGCAAAGGAATGGCAAGAGATATAGGTGGTGCCGTGTTCTGTGTGTGTGGGTCTGTGAGAGAGAGAGAGAGAGAGAGAGAGGGGGGGGGGATGGAGAGAAGAGGCAATTGCCAATTGGTGATGTAGAGGGCGGTATTTACGGAGATTTGATGAGAGGGAAAGAGAGAGGTAAAATAGAGTGGGAAAAAGATAAGAGGAGGTTTAACAATCTTTGCCTCCGTTTGGATACCAATTTATAACTTGGTTTATAATTTCGGTCAAAATGGAACATTAATTTTAACCGCACGTTTCGTGGGATCTACTACTATTTCTCTTATAAATCATTTTATAAATTTGCCTAAAGGAGGCTTGATTATTGGTAATGTGGTCATAAAGTTTTCCTGCTCTTGGCCTACTCAATGTGCTTTAAGAAATTTGGTGAGGCAAGTAGGAAATCTATGGCTTGCAGCAGAGGCAAACAAAACCAAGGATATCAGGTCAAAAGGTAAGAGGGGTGGGGACTTGACAGGAATATAATAGACTGGTATAATTCCAAGGTAAAAAAGGTGGAAGACGGAGGTGAGGTAAGGGGAACAAAAAGAAATCGACACTCTCGTCTGCTTTTCTTTTCAACATCTCTCTCTTAGCCAGCCGGTCTCAAACCTGAATAAAAAGATGGTTTTCTGGTTGAAGTAGGTGGATAGTCGACTTAAAACTTGGCATGTCGTATGTGGTGAATCTTAGGACATGAATATTTGATAAGCATGTGTAGAAATCAGTGTTTTAAAAAGAGCGCTTAGACGGTGTCTAAGGCTCAAAGTTTGGAAAAAATGCTTCGCTTCGCACCTAGACGTTTCATTAGTTTATTTTTTTTCCAATTTCCTAAATGACTGAATTTTTTCATTCATATCTTTCGTCTCCAAGACACCATTTATTAGTGTTTTATTTGACTTTAGCTTATTATTTAAAAAAAAAAAAATCATTTGATTTTCATTTTAAGTTTTTAAAAGATTTTATCTGTAAAGTTAAAAGCGACATTATTGAATAATTAAATAAGATTTAAATTTTTGTGTTATCTACATTATGTAATTATGATCTTGAAACTCATTTTGTTACAAACTTCAAAAGTATGCATGAAGTTCATATAAATCTATTAAGTAAAACTTTTCTAGTTAAAAATTAAAACTATAAAAAATTTTAATTTTTGCATTTCGAAAACTTGAAAATTGTATATTTGACTAATGGTAGGAGTTATTAAGTAAATATTGTATTTTATAATTTTAGATTTTTAATATGTATTAATTTAATTATTAAATAATTTTTGAATGATTAAAGTTTTAAAATAATATTATAAATAAGAAAACGTTATTTTACATTTAAGCTTCGCGCTCGCTTAACCTTCTAAAACTTGAATCTTCGGCTCTACATTTAATCACGGTTTACGCTTTTTAGAACGATAGAGATAGACCATTAGGAGATAATTTTGCGCCTATCCATGTTTGTGTGAGAGAAGTGGAATTTTGAATTATTGTTTGGGAATTGGGATGGGGTGAATATCAAGGAAAATCCCATCTTTACCTTTATTTACATTCTTTTGACAGAAGAAACAAAAATTCTGTGCTGAAAATGATGTCTGGTCGGAATTGTATTTCTTTTGACTGGAATATCTCTCTCTCTCTCTCTCTCTTTGGATATCTTTTGACTGGAATCTCTCTCCATCTCTCTCTAATGCAATTGATAGGGAAACTGTTGGCATTAATCTCTCTCTCCCATCCCACACATCTAAATCTTAAAACACTAAAAGATCTTGCCTACGTCGAAATTTATATAAGGATTACGTAATATGAGACTCTTATCATTTATCAATTTAAAATATTGTCTATATCAAAATTCATATAAAGAATTACATAATATCACATGATACTCTAACATTTGTCAATTTAAAATACTATCAACGTTTTCATCAAATCTTTTTCTTTTACATCATTTTCGATAATCACTTATATACCATTTTTATGTTTAAGTAGCAAAATCCAAAATCTAATGTGTATGGAATAAGAAATATAGCCATCTCTACATCTAACTATATGACCTTACTATTGGAGGACAGAGCTCAAATCAAGCACGGATTAGTAACTGTTGTTAAAAGTGGGCCAAAGTTGGTAATATAATTGGACATTGTCTTAAAAAAAAGTTGGTTTTGACCCAAATTATTGAAGTTGGGTCACTATTCGTACACTGGAGTTTAGAAGACAAATGTGTTTTACTTCTAGGGTAGGCTACTATAGCATTTCTAGTTGCTCAAAATTAATTTTTTGTGGATAGAAAATTAAGGTTAATATTGAGCCATTTGAACTTTAAATATGTTGGAAAATTGAAATCGAAAATCTGTGGTAAAATGAGAGAGTGTCCATTACACATCAGAAGATGAAAAGCCACTTGGGCACTTAATGTAGCCCAAGTTAGTGATAGCAAAAAAATTCGCTCCGCCACTCCTCGAATGGGGCAAAAAAACCCGCCCCGATGAGTTGGTGGGGTGGGCGGGGCAAGATAGGCCCTGACCCCGCCCCGTGATTTTTTTTTTTATTTCAAGTTATATTATTATTAGATAATAAAATACAAATGTAAAATTTTAATTAATTAAAAAAGAAATAAATTTAAGTCAAAACATAATTTTATTTGAAATTGTTTAATTTTTAACATTGTTTATTTCAAGTGTTTACTTTGAATTTTAAAATTTTGAATTTATATTT